AAAGGCACCCGCCACAACGCCTGGCTATTTGTTGTTGTTGTTGCAGTTGTCGTAGTGTAGCTGCCCAGGCTGGGTTTGAACCTGCCTGCCTCAATGTATGTGACTGGTCCCCTACCCACTGAGCTATGGGCACCGCCCTCACATAAATGGTATTATGTAACATGTGACCTTTACCTGTTTCATTTTTCATTCTATTTTAATATATGCTCTTGTAACTTCAGCCTCACCGTCCATTGTCCACTGTAACTGATTATACTTTGTAAACATAAAATCTACAGATGTTCCTATGTGACCTACCTATTGTGTGTATTCACCGGATTTTTTTGTTAGATATTTCCATTTTATGTTTTCTGAAATATTTGCAGATAGACATCTTCTCTTTTGCTTACAGTTCTTTACCCACTTATTCCTCTCAGTTAAACTGTCTTGGCTGTTTTCTCCAGCATGATGTTGTGAGATTTGAGGCTTCTTATTGTTATTTCTGAATTTGGGGGGAGGGGGTTGCTAGTCTTTCACAAATGAAATATTTCAAAAGGAAATTTGAGGGCTATAACCTGAACTTTTAATAAAAATACACATATCCATTTGTATTTTATCCTACGCCAGTCAAAAAACTACATATATCCTTAATTTATTGCTTAAATGTAACATTAATCCCTGTTGAATTTTGCCCCCCTCCCTTGTTTTTTGGAGACAGTGTCTCACTTTGTTACCCTTGGTAGTGTGCTGTGGCATCACAGTTCACAGCAACCTCAAACTCCTGGGCTTAAGCAATTCTTCTGCCTCACCCTCCCAAGTAGCTGGCACCTGACACAGTGCCCTGCTATTTTTTGAGATGAGATCTTTTTTTTTCTTTTCACATGAAAAGTCTTTATTAATCCTCTTGTGAAAAATCTATACAATGGCTGCAGATAACATCACTGTAGAGTCTTTACTCCTTCACCTTTTTGCCAGCACCAACATTAGCCTTTGCAGTCCCCCCAACTTACTTCATTCTGTTCTTGCATTCCTTTTGCTGCTTTCTTGACATCTTTTTCTTTTCATACAGGCCATGCCTTGCAAGTCTATGTTTGGGTTCATTTTTCATTGCATAATCCAAAGAATCGTAAATCATGCTAAACCCCATTGTCTTCCCACCACCAAAGTGAGTTCTGAATCCAAATACAAAGATGACATCGGGTGTGGTCTTGTACATTTTGGCTAGTTTTTCTCTAATTTCTGTCTTTGGTACTGTTGCCTACCCAGGGTGAAGGACATCAATGACCATTTGTTTCCTCTGAAGTAGTCGGTAGTCAACTTCCTGGTCCGGCTAGTTACTAGGTCGTTCATGATGGCGGGTGACTGTCGGGCAGTCAGGGAGGAAGAGCTAGAGATGAGATCTTGCTCTGGCTCAGGCTGGTTTCCAATCTGTGAGCTCAGGCAATCCACCTGCCTCGGCCTTCCAAGTGCTGGAATTATAGGCATGAGCCACCATGCCCAGTCCCCGGGTGTTTTTTGGTTGCATTTGTCATTGTTGTTTAGCAGGCCCGGGCAGGGGCTTGAACCCACCAGCCTTGATGCATGTAGCCAGCATCCTACTCACTGAACTACGGGCACCGAGCTTCTGTGCCTTTTTTTATACTCACCCTAATTTTCTTTCAATATCTGGGATGCAGTTTTCTTTTTTTGGCCAGGGCTGGGTTTGACCCCACCACCTCCAGTATATGGGGCTGGCGCCCTACTCCTTTGAGCTACAGGCGCCACCTTCAATATCTGGGATGAACTTCATCAGTGGATTTCCAAATATTAAATCTTATCTGCACTCCCGGGTTAAATATATTTGTATATGGCATATCATTTTTGGTTAGCAACTGTAGACTGGTATTTTACAGAAGACTTTCATATGTATATGCAGGCAGAACTAAATGCAGTAGAATTTTTTCTTTGCAAAATTATTCTATTCAAATAGTAAAAGTTAGTTTAAACTTTTCCTATTTATTTAATGACCTTTGAATATTTCAAGTAGCATTGATTTTTATTTAGATTGTGCAGAGGGAGGGGCAAGATGGCAGACCAAAAGAGGTCCATGCATGCTGTTTTCAAGGAGAAAATAAAATGTTGCAGGTGGTTGCCCATGTATGAGTGGACTTTCTTAGAAGGGGCATTGTGGACCATCAGAGAATAAATGGGGGACATTAAGAGTGAAGGAAAAGGTGACAGTACAGTCTGCATGGTAAGAACGGAAGGTACCTGGGGGAGGCATCTATGAGAGGTAAAGAGCAGGAGGAGAGAAACCTGAGGCATCACACTCCCCACTGTGGACCCCCACCATTGCTGCAGACCTCCAGACTGATCAGGGAGCTGCTTGGAGTTGGTGCCGTGACATAGCACTGGAGAGTGGGCTTGCTTCAACTAACAACATTTTGAGTTTGAAGGTCCAGAGCACCAGATCTGCACAAGGCTCAGCTCTGCTGCTGCCTCTGTGTCATTCCAGCTGAGCTGGGGAAGGAGCAAAAACTCCAGATGTTCCCTTGTGCTCCATAACTGGGAGATAAAAGACTGCGGCCCTCCACTGGGTGTCTGAGAAGAGCCAGGACCACAGATGCTACTGGAGAAGCTCAGAGGCAGGAGAGTCACACTCGCTCAGCAGCCAGGTCCCATGGCCCTACTCCTGCAACTCCCAAGTTGACACTTGGTGCTGAGGCTGAGGAGGGCGCTGCTGGGCCCCAAGAATCTGTTACACCACCTGTTCGCATTCTCTGGCACTTCCAGGTCTAGGGGAACCCTGCTGTGGTGCCCCCTCTAGTCCCAGCACCACGTTCCCTGCCCTGGCTCAAAATCATCTGTTCTCTCCGCCTAACACTCTCTGCTCAGGAGCCTCCCCTTTGGTGACTGCTCCCTATTTTTGCCGCCCTCCACCTCCTTGGACGTGGAGCGCTTCTGTGTATTTCTCTAGTTACTTTCTTCTCCTATATCTTCCACTTCTTTCACTCATAAGGTGTATTTGCAAATCCCTCTCCACCTTCGGCCCTCTGTTTTGGGTGTCCCTCATTATTTTATTCGCCTCAATCTTCGTATGTACTCTCACCCTCTCTTAGACGCACACGCACAGGGACAGAAATGGGATAAGATGACAGCCTCTGGGAAAGCAAGTTTTCCAGCCAGGTAGCATTTGGGAAGGAAGGAAGAACAATGAGTGTCAAAGGACACGTCCAAGTGGCATCCGCGCCACACTGTGCCAGGTCAGGTGATGTAGTGGCCCTGAAGGGGAAGCCTGGGCAGCAGAAAGGCCCAACTCAAGGACAAAGTGCTGGCGGTATGGGGAGCGGATGGGATCAGAGGAATCCCAGAACCCGGGAGAGGACGCGGCTCCTCCACGTTTAGGGCAGCGGTGGGGGCGTTCCAGGCTCTCCTGAATCCACTTGCCTGGTGAGGACTGTACACGGCGAGGAGCGGGGTGTGTGGGGAAGTCAGTAAAGGGTGTCAGGCAAGGAAACGGGGCGACAGGAGGTGTGTGGCCTAGACTGAGTATGAAACCAATCTCTGAGCCATTTTAACAAAAGGTTACGTGACCCTGGGAAGTCATGGGACGTATAAGTTTACTTGGGGTGAAGGGAGCGCTGCAGCGATTTTTTTTTTTTTTTGAGACAGAGCCTCAAGCTGTCCCCCTGG